CTCTCGACAGGGTGAACCACATCGTGCAGCTCTGTTGACGTTGCGCTGCTGCAAGTGACATGGTTTCTCGCTGGTCGGACAAGTCGATATGCTTAACCTCTTCGTCTCTCGAACTTTACAGTCTCAGGGCTCACGTCGGACACGCTCCGCTGAACCTTCACCGCGAATACTCTCATAAAATGCGAATGCCTCGAACCTCATCTCCGCTCGACTGACGTGCAAGCTCGCAGGATACAGTCATAGTCTCCTCTTTCTTCCAGTGGTGCGACAGATCTCTGAAAAAAGAAACACGTGCGGATTTCTTCACTCCCCCGTTGCCATATAACCTCTCTCGCGCTCCGCTTACAGCACGCACGTGTACTTAGCAATCTTTACTAAGTATGCATCTGTCTTGTCTGGTGCATTCTGGCTCACGTGCAAGAAACTATCACCACCACAGTCAACTATATCTCGATTACTCAAACACTCAGTCAGAGGTGTACGTCGGTGGGAAGTGCTGTGTGAGTTTGTCGGTGCTTCGTGAACAGTCGACGCTACGCTGTACTCGACCACTGGTCGCGCTGATTACTCTGACAATGTAAGTTGATGCCAACACTGCAGTAAAAGCTAGGTCGACTGCAACAACACACACACCACCACACACACCCACAAACACACACACACATACAATCGACCACATCTGGATTGAACCAGGTGAACTTTGATTTATTTACAACCTCAATAAAATAGCTAACGTGGTTTTCTTCTGACAAACTGTTGATTTTAGCCAACAATAAACAAAACTAACGATAGCTTTCTACGAGCCTTCAATGCGAGGGCACCCAGCTAGATAACTGTAGCTAAGCTATTTGAGGTTGTCTTGCTGGCTGCGTCTCGGCTTTTTGGAGTTGGCGGGACAATGCAAAGAAACATAACTTTTGTTTATGTGAAGCATTTGAGCAGCTCGTATCTGCTCAGACACAAACAGCTGATTGGTTCCTGATGAATGTGTTTCTGTGTGACAGAGTTCAGCAGAGGTTTGGGAATCAAACCAGTCTGCTTTCACATGATATCAGAGGACTGGATCCAGACTTCCCACAGTCCACATGACTGCGCACAGGGCACATTTCTCCTCCTTTAACCTATTTTCTTTTCACTTTCTTATTTTTATCTCCTCCTCATCAATGGAGTCTCATTAACGCAGATTTTAAAGGAAATATATAAAAAGAACCAATGTAAACGGATCATATTAAATAGTTCGAACCTTTATAATAGCACCGAGGAAATGTGGATTATTGTAACTGCAGAGTAATATTGAGGATTCACACATATTTCATTCATAGAGAAGAAAAAAATCAAGAATGAGGCAAAAATGTCACAAATTACAGATCAATTAGAGTCGATAGTCTGTAATAAGCTGCTAATAAAGCTAACCATTGTTGTGCTAGTTATCATTCAGTTTCATAAACTTTACTATGCAACTAGATATAAAACTGAATGCTAATGTTAGCTGACACCTGTTAGCAACCATTAATTAGCTTTATTGACTGAATATAATGCTAATGGTGTAAATCAGATATCAGATAATGACATCAGAGCCTTTTTAGGGTTCATCTGCAGTATTTCTTTATTTACTGAATGTTAAAGCAGCTGAATTAAAGAACAACCAGAGTAACAACACGGGAACATAAAGTCCACTGACACTGAATGAGTTATATAAAGGGACAAACAATGGAGGCAGTGTAGGAGGAGCAGTGTGGCAGGTAATGACTAATCTGTGATGAATTACACCTGAACGTCAGCCAGGTGTGCACTGCTACTGTCTACAGCACACACACACACACACACACACACTCTAAATAAACACACTGCTCCTGTACAGGCGCACGCACACACCGCGTGTCTCACATACCTGGGAGGGGATGTTTGACTGACAGCTCGGGGGCGTGGCCATCATGACCCAGACTGGAGCGGCGACAGGTAGCGCTGTGGTTTCAGCGTGAGAGAGACAGGTTCGTTAACAGTCTGTCACTAATTGCCACAGGTACCAGATGTTGACAGCTGCTGTGTCCTGATCTGCCTCAGAGCTGCTACTGAACATTAAAGCTACAACCTGTGCTGATCTCAAAACATCTCATCCCTCTTTCCACCAGCAGGGACCTCGTGCTAGTTCTGGTTCTGGTTCTGAATGTTAACTTTAGCATTTTTAGAACCAGCCTCAGGCTCGGAGCCGGTTCCCTGTTGGTGCTATCTAGCGAACCTATCTTAGGCCTTTTCCCCCCAACAGGGAACCAGCTCCTAGATGACTATTAGGGAACCAGAGAACCTCCGGGGAACTCGTATGTTCTTCTTCTTCTTCTTCTAGGTGGAGAACTGGTAAGGGAACAACGGACTGGGAGACTGGGACCGATTGCCAGGAGCCAAACATGGTAAGAGATGAAAAATTTGTCAAAGTGGAGGATTTTGAGGAGGACTGGGAGGCCTGAACTGGTTTTCTGAGACTAGGTGGCCTCACACACACACACACACACACACACTCAGTGGAAACACATTAAGAAGACAAATGGCTGCAGACAGACTAGTGTTTATCCAGCAGGCTATTTAAAGAGAGAGGAGGAGCGATTGAAGACAAAGATAAAGACATGAGAGGAAGAGGAGAAGACAGAGAGATGAGGAAGAGGAAGAGGAGGAGGAGGAGGAGGAGGAGAGATAAAGATACAAACTCCCTTTAAAGTTATTATGTGGTTTTATTTCAATAATAACAAATAATTATTCACATTTTCTTTAAAAAACCTCAAACTGAAATCGTCTTCTGTCCTCTGTCTGACTGATCTGTGGCCCTCTGGAGGACCCCGACCCTTATGTTCCATATAGGTGCTGCAGAGCATTTCATTTCGTCCATTTCAAGGCCACCGTACTAACTCCTACACGCTTGGAAGGCGAGGGGTATTCAGTTGGTTGCAATCACCAAAAAAATAAGGACGGCCAACCAGACTCCATAGACAAAATCAGTCATTTTACCTCGTAGAAAATCATAAAACGAACTTCAAACTGGTCAGAAACAAAATAAAATTCACCAATACTTTTATTAGTATTTCTAAAAATCACAAACTCTCATTTGGTCAAAATAAATCTTTAATTTCACAGACGCACATGAGATAGAGCTTCAGTTTAACCAGAAACAGCCGTAATATCACTATCGCTCTCCACCAGACTCCAGAGACAAAAACACTGATTTTACCTTCAGATCATCGTTACATTATTCAAAGTGGACAGAAACTAAATTAACTGCCTTAATTAATGTTAATATTAATGTTCATAATCTCATATTTATTATATATTATATATTCTTCACTACAACCACAGAAACACAGTTTGTACTGTTGGACTTCTCCCACGACCTCAAACTGTACTTTAAACGTTCGCAGCCATTATTGTCATTACTGTGATTGTCCCATTTACTGACTGTGTGAGGTTTGGTTTAGAAGAACGGGCTGTGTGTGAGGAAACACATATTTCTGCTCTGCTGTCAGAAGTGACCCGTTCCCCGGACTCTCACAGCTCCCTGGGGAGAGCGTTCATGTCCCTGCACAGGGATTCATCATAAAAACCCAAAATCACGCTAACTGTGAGAAACCACGGCGGTCTGGCCAAACATGGGCAGGTTTTCAGTCCGAGTCTGGCGGGACGAACAGCAGCTGGACGGGAACTGGTGTAGAGAACGAACTGCATTAAAGGTTCAATACGTATGATTAGAAGCATTTTTATTATTATTTTTATTCATGAATTCACTTTATAGATACATAGATACTTTATTTATCCCAAAATTCAAGTATCCAGTAGCATACAAACATACAGAGTCCAACACAGAGTCACAACACAGAGGGTCCAAACACAGAGTCCACAAACAGAGTTCCACAAAACACAGAGTCCAACACAGAGTCCCACAACACAGAGTCCAACACAGAGTCCAACACAGAGTCCAAACAAGAGTCCACCAAACACAGAGTCCAACACAGAGAACCAACACAAGAGGTCCAAACCACAGAGTCCACAACACAGAGTCCAACACAGGAGTCCACAACCACAGAGTTCCAACACAGAGTCCAACACAGAGTCCACAACACAGAGTCCAACACAGAGTCAACCACAGAGTCCAACACAGGGGTCCACAACACAGGAGTCCAACACAGAGTTCCACAACACAGAGTCCAACACGAGTTAAGAGTCCAACACAGAGGTCCAACACAGAGTCGCAACACAGAGGTCCAACACAGAGTCCACAGAGTACAACAGAGTCCAGCAACACAGAGTCGCACACAGAGTCCACAACACAGGAGTCCAACACAGAGTTTTTCCACAACACAGGAGGGTTCCAACACAGAGTCCACAACACAGAGTCAACACAGGAGGTTCCACAGACAGCAGAGTCCAACACAGAGTCCAACACAGAGTCCAACACAGGGGGTCCACAACACAGAATCCAACACAGAGTCCACAACACAGAGTCCGAACACAGAGTCCAAACACAGAATCCAAACAGAGTCGCACCGAATCAACAGAGAGTCGGTTCAAACACAGGAGTCCGAGTCACACAGAGTCCACAACACAGAGTCCAACACAGAGTCCAGATTCAAACAGAGTCCACAACACAGAGTCCAACACAGAGGTGGTCCACGAAGTCCACAGGAAGTCCAACACAGGAGTCCACAACACTGAGTAATCCAGAGTCACCAGAGTCCACAAAGGTCCACGAGTTAGATTCCACACACAGAGTCCAGAGCAACAAGAGTCCAACACAGGAGTTCCACAACACAGAGTCCCGAGTACCACAGAGTCCAACACAGAGTCCAAACAGAGTCCACAACACAGAGTCCAACACAGAGTCCGTAGTCAACACAGAGGTCCATACACAGGTAAGAGTTCCAACACAGAGTCCACAACACAGAGTCCAACCACATGATCCACAACACAGAGTCCAACACAGAGGTCCAACACAGGTCCAACACGTTTTTATTTATTTTATTTATTTTATGTTTCTGGCGTTAGCGAACTTCCATACAGCCTGACAGACTGAACTCTGGGTAAAATAACTCAGGGGCTCAGGAGCGCGCCCAGTCGACCCTGGAGCGCGCCCAGCTGTCAGTGTCAGTGCTGTCGCGCGGGTGCCCGTCTCCCTGACAACAGCGCTCAACTTGCACGAGCTTATCGTCACCACATTGTGACCTCACCTGTCCAGGTGGGCTCCTTGTTGTTTACTTATAGGCTATTTGTCTCCACGTGACGTGTGCGTTAGTTTCCGGCAGGCGAGCGGCTAAGAGGGAATCAGGTGAAGCGGAAGTGAAGTGAGGAGAGAGGCTCGCGCAGCTCACCTGTCCGCCAGGTGAACGACCGGAACAGAGAGAACAGGAGGAAGAGCAAGAAAAGTAAGTTTATTAAACCAGAAATATCGATCTGTTGGAGAACCCGAGGGTTCTGTCTGTCTCTACCTGTCTGTCTGTTCTCCACTCTCCCACTGTCTGTTTGTCTCTACCTGTCTGTCCCTTTACCTGTCTGTCTTCTCTACCTGTCTGGTTCACCTGTCGTTTGTCTCTACCTGTCGTGTCCACTCTACTGGTCTGTATTGTCTCCTGTCCTGCCTTACCGTTCTGTCTGTCTCTACCTGTCTGTTGTCTCTACCTGTCTTTTCCCTTACCTGGTCCTGGTCGTGGTCCCCCTCTACCTGTCTGTCCCATGCTACCTGGTCTTGTCCCTCTCACCTGGTCTGTTTGTCTCTGCCTTACCTGTCTGTCTGTTCTCCACCTGTCTGTCGCCTCTACCTGTCTGTTGTCTCTACCTGTCTGTCCCTCTTACCTGTTGTCTTTCTCTACCTGTCTGTTGTCTCTACCCTGTCTTTCCCTCTACCTGGTCTGTCCCTCTACCTGGTCTGGTTTGTCTCCTAGGCCTGTCTGTCCCTTTACCTGTCTGTTGTCAGTCTTACGATGTCTGTGTCTCTCCTGTGCTGGGTCCTGCTACCGTGTCTGTCTGTCCCTCTACCTGTCTGTGTCACTGGGTTCTGGTTCCACAGGATCCACCTGGTCTCGCCCTGTTGTTAGTTCTCATTAAGGAGCTGTTTGAGTTCTGTGGAGGTTCTTCAGAGGTTCTAGTGGTTCAAAGGCAGCGGAACATCTACGGAGGATCAACACTGCCAACATACACACATCAATTAATTAATTAATAAATAATCTAAAGAATAAAGTTACTGAATTCTTTTTAACTTTAAACTCAAATAAGTTTTTTACGCGTGGCCGTAATTTCCTTCCGTAGTTTCCATTAAACGCACTAAACGTAATATTAAAGGTAATGTGTGTGTGCGCCGGCGATCAATCTATAGGCAGAACGTTGATTGACAGCCGCCTCATTTGCATATTGAAGCAAAAATCAATAAACCGGTTGAGAAATACAAAATCACATTTTAATTAATGCATTTATTTTTTATAGCTTTGTTGTATTTATTAAAGAATTCATTGATTTATTGATCTGATATTTCTCTCACACATTATTGAACTGTCATGTGACGGATTGCACACGGCTGTTGGCACGGCAACGCCCCAGCTGCTCGTTAGCGCTAACAAGCTCTCATTACGTGTTAATTATCTCTCCAGTTTTGGGCCTGGGATGGTGTTAAATAGTCGATTAGCAGGTAATTTGCGTGCGAGGCGTCGCCATGACGGCGGAGACGACGTAATCAGCGTGAGTCAGAGCTGCTGTGAGTCCAAACCTGAGTCACCTTTTAATGAGCTGAGAGGAGAACCTCTTTAAAGGTTTCGGAGCCGGTGATTGTGTCCTGTAGCTTCCTGTTTGTGCTGTGAGAGTCAGACAGCGGAGACCAGTCTGCCAACATGCCGCCTGCTGCAACCAGCACATTCCTGACACATGACACACAGCGGCAGCCTGAACATCCCATCATCAGCTGAGCGACAACGCGCCAACAATGCGCCAACAAAGCGCTCCTTCAGTCTCAATGTCTCCTTCAATGTCTCAGAAACATGGCAGATTCCTGCTTTTTAAAGCTGCAGTGTGAAACATTGAAGAGGATCTACTGGCAGAAATGTGATAATATTCATAATCATGTTTCCATTAGTCAATAATCACCTGAATATAAGAATGGTTTCCTTTAGTATGACACGTTTCTGCACACTGGTCCTACAGAAATTCGCACCGGAGCGCAGCAGAGCAAACAGCACACCAGACTCCATTGACAAAACCAGTCATTTTAACTTGTAGATAATTGTAGAACACGCTTCAAAGTGGACAGAAACAGAATAAAACTCACTGAAACTGACTCTGTTAGTGTTTCCAACAATCAACAACTCTGGTTTGGTGGAAATAAATCCTGAAATGAACTGATTAATTGATGACTGTTGATATTGATTGATGATAATTGATTAAAACAGCTGGTTTCTAGGAAGGTTTACTCGACGTCTTTCGGCACAGATGCAGATAAAGATAAACTCAACAAGTAGCTCATTGATGGGTCCTCGCTTTGTGACACTAAAAGTCAGGCTAAAAGAATTACAGGGAAGTTCAATTTGATGTTCTTAATAAAGCAAATTGTGTGTGTGTTTGCAGTGAGTAACCCCATCCCGTCCAATCTCAAGTCGGAGGCCAAAAAAGCCGCCAAGATCCTGAGAGACTTTACCGAAATCTCCAACAGGACCGGGCCGGACAGACTCATCCCCGGTAGGAAACGATTACTCACTCACTGTGTTCTGTTTCTAACAATGCAAGGAGAAGAAAAGTGTATTATTTTCTGTATTTTGCGATGCAGCTCATGTGATAGCGAAGGCGGAAGGTCTTGCCATCATCTCCGTCATCAAGGCCGGCTTCATGATCACAGCCAGAGGAGGCAGCGGCATCGTCATCGCCAGGCTGGCCGACAGACGTAAGGACCGAAACACGCCTCTCTAATTCCTCCTGTGCAGAAATACCAGTGTGCTAAACGCTTTACAGAGTGGGCAGAGGTCAGTAGCTGCGATAGATGTGGTCGGAGGTCAATGTGATAACTCAGGAACACCTCGAGGGAATTTCTTTAAATCTGGCACAAACGTCCTCCTGGAGTTTAAGTATAAGAAAGTATAAATGACTCGACTTTAACATCTTTTTAAGGAAAATAAACTGTTAAAAAACTGAAACGTCACCAGGAGGTCAGCCTGTGAGACGAAACCCAGGGCGCAATTACTCAACCTGACTGTGTGTGTGTGTGTG